ATGTAGTTAATTAGAAAAAAGTATTTTGTTCCAAGTCACACTGTCAGTCAAGTAAATAAAAAAATCATTGAATTTGCAAAGGTCTCAACTTCATATTATTTTGTTACTAGCTTAAAAGCTGCACTATATGGACTTTTAACTTTGAATTCCTCAATTCACTCCATGAAACTTCAAAACCTCACTTTAACTCTGATTTGGACTAGAAGTCCAATTCCAGACAAAAGACATATTTGGGCCCAAATTCCAATTCAGGGCAAAAATCAAGTTCTTCAAATCACAAATTCTGTGGAACTTCAAAAGACCATATCACAAAACATCTCACTTTAACCATGGCATTTTGTGGAAAGAAAATGGATTTGAAACAAAAATTTTTTAATTCAAAGTTTTTGTGTTACTTTAAATTTAATATTAATTAAAAACTTTTAAAAAATAACTAATTTTTTTTCAGTTATTTTAAAATTTGAAACTGTTCTTTCCTTATCCAGACACAAATTCCAATGCTAGATGCTCAAGCATCAAATGAAGAGCAGATTTTCAATCTGGGGATCATTTTAATTCCCAAAAGGTATGTCTATGTAGAGCAAGTGTGGCCTGAGTTAGAAGTGTTCCAGATATATGGATAGACAGACAGAATCTGCTATTTATTTAGAAGATAGACTCAAGCCCTTTGTAAAATTATGATTTAAGTGATATTTTCTATATAGAACTTAGCTTATGGCCATATTATGTCAAATCACTGGTTCTTGTATGATTGTCAAAGATAACCAATGTGAAGCTTGGTCTATACCTAGATGAGTGAACATTTGGGAATATCAGATGCTCTAAGCTTATTACAAATGTAAACTTATCTCAAATTAAGAAACAATATCCATACATTAACACAAAAACAAACAAAAAAAGCCTATTTCAAAACTCTCCTTCTTATCATCATAAAAAAGAAAAACACTTTGATGCGGCAAGATAAAACAAAGAGAAGGAAAATATGAAAATGCTTCGAGAAGGGGTACCCAGATGTACATCATCAGAAATAATCTGAATGTATCAATTTCAGAATTTATTATCAAATGTTTTAGGAACGGCGGAATTTTACATCTTAAAAAAAGAAAATGAAAAAATAATAAATTTTATATTTCATATTTGAATATTAGCTTGCTTTAGTTAGTCAAATTAAATATGGCCAGAACCTTTTTAAAACATTTAAGGTAGAGGCTGAAACATTTCATATGAAAACATTTTGATTAGAGGGTTTAAAAGATGAAAGATTTTTTTTTTTTTTTTAAATAAAAGATGTATATACCTCCCAATAAAGATATTTTTTTACTGCTATTGATACTGTTTTTAATAGTCATTCATCTGATTCTTACTGAAATGAAAACATTCTTTTAAGAAATAATTGGAGTTAGTAACATGCTACAGCTGCAGGCCTGCTAAAGTCTTTCTAATTATGAGCAATGCTAGGCACCTTGCTTGCCGAGATCAAACAAGGCCGTTTAATACTACAGTTGAAAAGAAAGAACAAATTAATATGCTATTCTCTCATAAAATATTCCCAGAAACTCTCACTACTTTTTAATGAATAACATTTGTTTACAACAACAGTTTTCACTTAAACAGAATGGAGTTTCTTAGATTATTTATGATACTTCAATTTAAACTGAGGGGACAGAACTATTACCACATTTTTATGCATTCAAGGCTTGGGGCATTGTTCTGCTTCATATCTAAACTTTATGCAATACAAATGCAGGACTTGATAAAATTTCTGGGTGAATGAATGCTGCCAGTAATTAGAAGTCAGCCTCATCAATCATGAAAACCTTTCACTTGGGAAGGGGAGAAGAGAAATAGCAGCAAGTAATTTTCATTTACACATTACATTCTATGAGCTTCAGAAAGAGAAAAGTAGAGAATAGGAGAGAGAGAGGGGAAGAGAGAACCAATGATTGAAAGAGGAATGCAGGTAAGTGTGAAGAGTGTATAACAAATGTGAAATATTTATGTGTGTGGGTGCCCACACGTGCATGTACACTTCATTTTAGAAAATTCCTATAAATTTTATTAGAAATATAGAATAATTCGAAACAGACACAAATATACTGCAAATGTGCTTATCTTTGTCAAATAGTTAGAAAAGTAAAAAACAGACAAAACTAAAAAAAACAAAAAAAAAATGAACTAAAAAACAAAACCAAAAAAAATGAACTAAAAAAGCAATAAGCTAAAAAAAAGCAATAAACTAAAAAAAGCAACAAACTAAAAAATAAAACCCATTAATGAAACTTGTTCACGGGATAATAAGCACTTGATTTTGATGAAAAAATCTAACATGTATTTTGTAAGCATTTTAGTTCTATTTTTTATAGTGTAGCTTAAGTGTAGAATTCACAGTGAGGATCAAGTTCATTTTAATAGTAATACATATATCAAGATTTTGTACAATTTATCTAGCTTTATATTTTAAATAATTATAACCCATAATCAAAGGAGATTTGGGAGAGAGAGAGTGAGAAAGAAATTTATTAGGGCAAACATGATCATCAATATAATTTATCCTTCATGCTAAGTTTGCAAGCTCTGAGAAAGCCAGAAGCAAAAGTTTTGATGAAATTTAAAAATAGCACAAAGAACTATAATCAATTTGACAGCAAAAAGATGGTATATATTTTACGATAGACAGAGAGAAAGAAACAAAATCTATAGAAGTCTACATAAATCAGATTATGAGAGTACAAGGTATCTGTTTTGCTTTAGATTTAATGAAATAACAAAATCTATGACAAGAACAGGGCAAATGTTTTAAGTTAAGATTTGTTTGCAGTGAAAAAGAATATTAAAGTTCATGTGATAAAAGAAAAAAATGCTTTTCAATTGTAAAAAGACAGAATGCATGGTTGTCAGCAAAAAGGGACACAGCCCAAGATTCAAATTACAAAATGGAGATAGCAAAATCAAGCAAATACAAAAAATTTAAATATATTGGAATAATAACATGCAGAAGCAGTGGGCATCCAATCATAGAGTGAAATAAAAATTTAGTTTATATTTAATTTGAATATGTTTATTTCATGTTTCATCTGTTTTTACATATTTAAAATGTCTTTGTTTCTCACTTTTTTCAGTACTCAGTCATATAGGCCCCACTACTTGCGTCTTAGGGCCATACAAACAAAGAGTTGGCCCCAGGCATCAACAAACCTCTCCATGTAACTGTTTTGAAAGTGTTTTAACAGAGGATGGAATGTGCAATGCTGAAATCTGAAGGCACATTGGGACAGCAAAAAATGCCTTCCAAAAGCTAAGCAAAGTATTAAGAAATGGGAAAATTTTGTTGGAAACAAAAGTAAAGAGTACTGAACTGTTATATATTGGTCCTCCTATATGGCAGTGAATGCTGGCAATTCTCATCACAGAAGAGGAGACTTGTAGTATGACATCAGAAGAAGACAATTAAGATTTCTCACAGGATGTGTTGAGGGCAGGAGGGACAGAGGAAAAAAGAGCATAAACTACCTAATGAGTTTGTGAAAATGATTGGCAGAACATGGTTTAGGAGAGATGACAAAAAGACAAAATTTACTAAGAGCTACAATGGACAGAAAATTGTGGAGAGCCATAATTGCCAATGTTCTGAAGGGACATGGTACATAGGAGAGAGAGAATTGGAACTTGTCACTCAATGAATCCAAGATAGGGACTTCACTTTCTCATGTTTACACTCCAAATTTGAGCAAATAAAAAAATATTTCTATGATATTTCTTATATAATAACATAGCTATTAAATTATTTATTAGTTTTCTCTTGAGTTCGTAGTAACAAGCCTCACCAAACTGAATATATATCAATAAATGTACAATGTTATAAACCAATATTTACACTACTTACATGCAGACTATTTTCTTCATCTTTGTTGTTGATATCATGTTTCAGATGTTGTACCCTCCATCTTTAATCAGGTGTATATTGATTTGGATAACCTACAGGGAATTCCAAACTGAACACTATTGGTTTATGAATTTGGTGAGATAGTAATTGTGAGTTGGGCCAGGCAGTGTGTACTTGGACTCAGTGTTAGCAATAACTGAGCAGAAATTAAAAAAAAAAAAAGAGAACTAGATGAAATATTCCTAGACAGGGAGAGGGGAACAAGAACCCCCATAGATTAAATAACAGGTTCAGTTCAGAATTACCTGTAGGTTACAGAGATCAATATACACCTGATGAAGGCCAGAAGGTACAACAGTTGAAATGTTGCAATAACAACAAAGATGAGGACAATAGTCCACATGTAAATAGTGTAAATATTGATTTATATCATGATGGATTACTCATATAATAATGATAATATCTCATCTCGGAAATTCAGACAAGATCTGAGTATGTTTGTTTAGCAGTATATCAACTCCTCATAGTAAGGGAGCACTAGTAATTTTTTATTTCTTTGTTTTTTTTTTTTTAACAAAGATGTATTGCTGCTATTTCTTTTTTTTTTTTTTTTTTACTATGAAATGTTACTTAATGTTTTGACTCAAGCTTGGGGTTTAACTATTTGCCCATACCTGGGATCCTAACAAGTACTACCACCAGGGTCAGAACGAACCTCAGAACAACAGAAATTAAGAGGTGGTTACATGCTCATCAAAACCTCCTGATTAGAGGTCTTACTGCTGGATGTAGTTTATCATCATACCCAGGACAGCACATGATATAAATGATACAGAAATATCAACAACATTTATAACCCATGTATGGTAATTACTTGAAATCAAATAGGTTGCAAGCCTAGAGATTATGTATATTTATTTACACTAATGAACTTGTATAAGCAGCTTAACAGTAACGTGTGAAAAAAAAAAAAAATGAATTTTTTTTTTAATCTTACTACAATATTTACCTAAAATAATACAATAGTGATTACATCTAAAGAGCTACACAAAAATCAGTTGTAAATTGACAAGATAACAAACATTGAAAGATATTCAAAGATGATTCTGTTATCTGCTTATGACCATATCATGTTGAAACACTGGTTCTCAACCAATCACCAAAGTTAAGCAATGTTGTGCTGGGTCAGTATTCAGATGGGTGATCATTAGGGGAGTACCAGGTGCTGTAAACTAAACAAAAAGCCTAGGAAGCTGTAGATGGATACAGTCTCATTACTTTTACTAACAGAAAACCTTGATATGTGGAGGTACTTCTAGACTGACAGGTCGCAAACCCTACCTGGAGTTTGGTGAGTAGTGAGTGGAATGGGTCTGTTATTTTATGAGGTGTAGCCACAGGGTAATTAAATGATACAAATCACATTGAATTAATATTGGTCAGATACAGTGTTGGAACAGTTTATATGGGTAGGTGTTTGAGAGTGGGGAATGTTAAAACAGTCTGGTTAATTAATTAATAACGGAACACATTATGCACCTGTCACTTTGTTTTATTTTCCCTACTGATATCTTTTTTTAATCATTTCTCCCCAAACAAGGCAATAAAGCCACTAAGATGCAAGAAGTTACCAAGTGTGAAAAAAACATGAGAAAAAAAACATTAAGGAAAGAGAACAATAAAAGAACAGGAATTATAATACAAAAGATAAAAATTGATATTGTATTTAAATTTTTAAAGATCAAAGTTGACTGGGAGAGAGTTCCAAAAGTGAGAAGTGCTAGATAAGAAACTGTTAGCATAGAATTTACTGTTACATTTAGCCATTTCAACTGTAAAATGATGAAACCTTATTGTCAATCTAGTGCTTCACTCAAATTCATAAAGTCTAGGTACCATAGAGGAAAGTTCATCAGAACAATTACTATGAAATTAAATAATACCGCAATAATGTGAAATTGTTTCACATAATACAAATTGTATGAAGGTGTTTTATTGCTATATACTAAAAGCAAGTGTGTGAACCAAGTTAAAATTCAAAGGTAAAAAAAAAAAAAAGTTTATGAGGAATTGGTTTGATATTTAGAAAGCCAGCAATTCTCAGAACTGATAAAATTACTTATGAATGTCCACTCTATAAAATTATGTATACTTATTAAATTTGTTAAAAAGAAAAACTTGAGAAATAATCATGTAGACTGTTATAAATGGAAAGTAAAATGTGTCTAAAAATCAAATTAAGAAGGAAAACAAAAGACAAAAGTGATGTCATGTTTCTTTCAAAATTCTAAGAATTTCAACAGAATACAATACATTTAATTTATATTCTTGAGAGAAAAAGTCTAATATATCAATGTTTATGTGGATTTTTATGCTAAATCTCTTTCTATAAATATTTTTTGCTAATGTTGCCTAATTATATGAATTTTGTACTGTTTGCTTTAATTGTGGTATAGTCTCTAGTCTTTTAAAACTATACAATATATAAAGTGAGAGAAAGAGACAGAAAGCAAGGATAAAGATGAATGAAGAGAGAGAAAACAAAAGCATGAGTGGAAGAAACAGAAGAATGGAGAAAGAATCAAAATTGAGGGAGAAGACGAGGCAAAATAGATGAGAGTGGGAAAAGTGGAGAGAGAGAGAGAGTTGGGAAAGAGGAAGAGAGAGAGTCAGGGTTAGCATGGGGGAGTGAGAAAGAGGGAAAAGAGAGCGAGGAAGAGAGAGAGGGAGAGAGGGGAGAGAGAGAAAGAGGGAAAAGAGAGCGAGGAAGAGAGAGAGGGAGAGCGGGGAGGGAGAGAGAGAGGGGAAGAGAGAAAGGAAGAGAGGGGAAGAGAGAGAGGAAAGAGAGAGGAAGGAGGGGAAAGGGAGAGAGGAAGGAGGGAAGAGGGAGAGAGGAAGGAGGAAGAGAGGGAGAGAGGAAGGAGGGAAGAGGGAGAGAGGAAGGAGGGGAAGAGGAGAGGAAGAGGGAAGAGGAAGAGAGGAAGGAGGGAAGAGAGGAAGGAGGGAAGAGAGGGAGAGGGAAGAGAGGGAGAGGGAAGAGAGGGAGAGGGAAGAGAGAGAGTGAGGAAGAGGGAAGAGAGAGAGTGAGGAAGAGGGAAGAGAGAGAGTGAGGAAGAGGGAAGAGAGAGAGTGAGGAAGAGGGAAGAGAGAGAGTGAGGAAGAGGGAAGAGAGAGAGTGAGGAAGAAAGCAAAAAGAAATTTGTTTAAAAAATGGGAACAAAAGTACAAAGAGAATGGGAAGAAGAAAAGAAATAAGAAAAGCAGATAGAATAAAATATTATTGAAATGGAGAGTGAATAAAATAAAAATTGCTTGAAAGGAAAAGTGGCAAAGAATGTGAACCATTCAGAATTGAAGAACTCAAGAAAAAAAAAAGTGTGGAAACAAAATAAAAAAGAAAATGTGCTCTACCATTTTTCTGAATGACTACATTTTAAAAATAATCGTCTCCATTTACATAAGCTTCATTTCTTTCCTTTTGTATATCTTCTAAAATAAATCACATCCCAACTCACACTGAAGTATATTGTAATATTTCAATCTACTTACTTAAGTACTGTTTACTACCTTCCAGCACATCCCCACTCCTGCCAATAAACAGAGGTCCACTGTTACATTCTAGCAATGGCCTTCACTAATTCATCTCTCAGAGAAATCAATTTGATTTTATCAAGATACTCTTATTTGCTAAAGTTTCATATTCAGATCTAGTCTGCTGATAAACAGTATCAAATGTTTTAAACACATACACACAGTAGGATGTTGAAAAGTTCTCTGCCTGACCAAAATGGTGTTTTGAAAAAGACAATCTGATGTCTAGCTATTTGTTCAGATTTTAGTAAGTTGGTCCAGCTGATAACTTTTCAGGATATTCTTTTGTTATATAGATATACTTCTAAAGAACTAATTGATTTTTTTTTAACTTGAAAGAAGATGGAGGGCACATTTTTTTAAAGTTTTCTTGAGTATACAGACCAACAGAAATAAATACGGTTTACAATAATTTGAGGGCTTACACAAATATGGGTATCTATGATAACAATGGAAGTTTATATATATATATATATATATATATATATATATATATATACATATATATTTAAATGCTTGTTTATGTAAAATGCTTATAGGAAAATCCAACATGACACTTGAATGAAATATTCGGCAAAAATTCCCATTCGTCAGTAACATTAAACCCCTCATAGAATACAAAGTTCTCAAAACAAACCTGTGCCAAACTGTTTTCCTGAATCCTCGATGACTTGGCTGTCCGAAAATGACAACATCAATATTAAATAATGGAAACTGACCATGGAAAACAATTATGTGCAACAAGTTTTCAATCAATCAGTTACCTTCTAGATGTTTTGGGGCCATGTTATTGGATCCAGACGGCTATTGTTTGTCCATGGAATTATTCACTGCTAATTAAACTTCGATTTGGCTGTGAAAAATGTCACTCAGGGAGGGGTGGGGTTTGCATTAAGAAATTATGGCCAATTTTTCTAAGACAAATCACTTTTTTTTTTTTTAAAAAAAAAAAAAAAAAAACAATTTTTTTTTTTTTTTCACTTCAAAACAATTTTTTTCAAACTTCAATCCCTTCTCTTTAAGTTGGTGTAAAAATCATTGAATAAAAGGAACAGTTATATGACCCAACCATGGAAAAAGACATGTAGGGGAAAAAAAACAATGTCTGCTAAGTGTTTTTGTCATCACCCTGGTCACAAGATGCTTGAAAAAAACATCAAGCCGTAGTTCAAACATAGGTTTGAAAAAAAAAAAATAACCCATATCAAGCTCTTTTTACCAATGGTGGGATTTATCACCAGCTGATAACAGCTTGTTTTAACTTTTATTGCTGCCTGAATGGCCTTTGACCCAGTCATGTCAAAGTTAGTGAGCTTAATTTGAGCCCTGTTTTTCTTATTGCTGCTATTTAAAAAAAAAAAAAAAAAAAAAAAAACTCCGGGGGTTTCTAGTCAGGAATTGTGGATAAATCTTTCACCTTTTACTAAAGATTTCTGTCAGTGTCAATTTTTTAACTCCTGGCAGCAATATAACTGAAACTTACTAATGGAGTAAGGAATTTTGTTTTTTCTTCAAGCTGTTTTATGCCTGAAATAGTTTCATTATGATTTAAGCTTTCTGAAATAAAAAAAAAAAAAAAAAAAAACAAAAGTTAATTTCCCAGGGTGAAAATTTTGTTTAGAACTAGTAAAAATACAAAATTTGAACTATTTTTTGAACATTTTACACCCTGAAAAAAATTTTTTGAGTCACTTACACCAGCCAATTTTACTTTTAAATGAAAGAACATATTGTTTGCTTTCAGAAAATACTTAGTTTCATGGGGTTCAGATCAAGAGTTTCCTTGATATTTTGTTCAGATGATGACAAAATAGTCATTTTTTCAATATCTTACCTTGTTTTACCCCCATAAAAGTATGAAAAGCCATTCTTTTTTTAGATATAAAAGTATACATATGCTCTATCTCTGATATTGAGCACTTTATCCCATAAATATAGCACACCTAATATATATATATATATATATATATATATATAAGAGAGAGAGAGAGAGACACGAGATACATCTATCACCTTTCCTAAGTAAACTAGTGTTCACAATGTGGACTATTTAAGAAACAATAGTGACAAAAACAATCAGAAACTAAATGTGGTAAGCTAGCTTTTGCATCTAAATAGATTGGTGATAAAAATTTTAATCCTACAGTTAAGTATCCCTGTAATGTCAGCATTTCTTGACATAGAACTGATATTTGTTGTAATTCATTTCCTCATCTTATATATACCAGATTCCATCAATAAAAACATTAGCCTGAAAAGTCCTTTCAAACGATGAAACACTAACATAGGATTTTTCCATTTTGTCATTCAATTGTGTGTGTGTAATGGCCGGATACTCTCATTTTGCAAGCACAACAGTCTGTTAGGATGGTTGGCCACCCCATTGCAGATGCCTGCTCAAGACCCACAGAGCCCACAAATGGCTTATACTGCAACTAGATAGAGCGGACCTTACAGCTTCTGGGAGAGAGCACATAATCTATCATGATAATCAGTTTGAATAACAACAGGATACTCAAATCCCTGGTCATGATAACTGTTGATTTCATGCAAGCACAACAATTGATGGCTTCCAAACAGTTCCATCTACCCAAGGAATGGTTTACAGGCACTTTCCAAAGGTGCTGCACACTGATATCA